TTGAACTCCCACCTTCTGGGATCAGCAGCCAGATACCTAAGCCACTGAGCTACCCAGCCAGCCACCCTCTTTAGCACATTACCCAAAGAGGGTGGTATCTGCAACTGGGTTACAGCATGCAGAGAGATGTTTGTGTGCAGAGCAGGCTTTTTTCAAAACCAAGGGAGACACGCATTAGGGGGCTGCGGTCCAACCGCGACTCCTTGGTGCTTAACAACACTCACACTTGTTCAATGTAGCTCATGTACTGATCACACACTCTTGACAAGGAACATGTGGAGCTAAAATTAAGATTTGTGTCCACTTTCCACACCAACAAACACCAAGAAACGGCCCGTGTTTCTATTAGCATATGCTTCTGAAGACAATCAGCCACCTAGCCAGCCTGGCAAACAATACCTCACCATCTTCTCATCAAAAATGTTATGCAGTTAATCTATTTCATTTCCACTGGGAACCCACCACATGTGAGTTTAAGAGAGCAACAATTCAAACCCAAACTGTAGCCATGAAGTTTGTGCTGAGACAAGACTAAACACCATGCATGCATTGACCTTTGTTGTCTTGCGAACCAGGAGAAAAGCTAACAAGAGCAGGAAGGCTGGCTTCCAAGCACTTTGAATGAAAAACCTCTAAAGGGCATGAAACATTCCAGGCCATCCCTTGAAACAAACATTAAGCCAAGTCTCAATACTAACATTTACAAACAAACAAACAAACACAACCTACGTCAATACTAACATTTACAAACAAACAAACACAACCTACAACATCAAGTTCTGACCGTCACAGTGACAAGAGTGCCAAACCTGCTACAAAAGCTGCCACGTATGGTGGCAAAGCTGAGCCACAGTAAGACGAAATGGACCGTGGCAGAGAACTGCAGCTCCATTCAAGGCAGAACAAGGCAACTCACAGCTCACAGCAGTTTTGTGTCTACAGCCCTTCTCAAACAGCTCTCATTTCGGCTTTCCAAGACACCTGAGTGAGAATGATGAAAGAATACTTTGACACGGGTTAAAACTTAGGCCCCTGTTTCACTCTGGCATCTAGGAATCTGGACTACTTATCCAGAAGTGTGCCAAGCCAATCTAATTCCCAATCCTTTAGCGGCACCGAAGTTTAAGAAATAAAATGTCCCTGTTCTAAGCCACACTGCCCTGCCAAGAGATTTGAACGCAGGCAGCTACGCAACGGACACCACTAGTTCCGGTTCTCTCAGTTCCTTCTGATCCAGGCATGTCCTTAAATCCCATGAAGTGATGGGGGAAGGGCTTGCGCATCGCCACGCACTTCCCCAGGGAACAAAGTCCAATGGACGCGGGAAGCCTCTTACCTCAAAGAGGGTCTGAGCACTGGACCCTGCAGAAAACGGCAAAGGAACTCAGGAGTCCGGCAACATTCCTTTCTTTCAAAATGTCTTTCCCATCTGCCTGCCTGCCTCTGTGTAGAAGGCAGCTCTTGGTGATGTAAACAGAAAGGCATGCAGGGCAGAAGGCAATATGTAAATTAATCTGGGAAATCACCCCCTCCCCAGCTCAGCCAATCATGCCTCGGTTCCTCATCTCAGCTACTCCGAACAGGATTCAGCCCGGAAGTGCAGGAACCATTCCCTTAGATCTCATATGAACTCCTTGGGCCGGAAATTAAATGCCTCCCCACAGGAACCCCAGGGTAAAACTTGAATCAACATATGAGGAAGAGATTTCGGAGGCTTTACGACTGAAGTTGCTGTTTGTTCATAAAGAGCACCTGCTCCAAACGGAAGATATCCACTGCAGAAGCAAATAAATCCCAAACCCAAAGACAAGCAGAACTTGTGAATGCATATGTGAAAATAGGTGATAAATTTATAGACCACTAAAAAATCATCATACAATATGTGAGCTTTCGTGGATCAAAACACCGCTTCATCAGGTCTCTACCCATGTGAAGAACGTAAAGGCCAAAAATTCATGGCAATATGGGTTTTTATCTTTATTTAAAACATTTTAACCTGCTTTTCTCCTTGAAAAGGACCCAAGGTGGCTTACAATGTTGAAAGACAACATTTAATGTTTTACGAATCCATGTAGACTTAAATCAGGGAAACAGATGTTGTTTTTTTAATGCAAAAGATATTTCTCTGGGCAAGCTATTGAATATGTGAAGATATATTTGCTTTAAGAAAAACATGAATGCATCTATGCCCTAAAAACCTGACAGTTTTAGGCCACCCTAGTTGTAAAACAACAAAGACCACCAAACAGAAGAATTCAGTAGCTTGCTACTTCACACCAGGATGTATTAGAGCAGCCTTAGTCAATAGAAGCAGAAAGAAGATATGGTACTCTCACAGGAGATCCTGCAACCTATGAAACATTTGTTTCCAAAGATAATTACTAATTATAAATTGTTGACACAAACAGGGTTCACTTGGACATACCTCTGAACAAGGGGTGGAGACGGAGCGTGCCAGGGAAGCTGAGAGCAATTATTTTCAGGAGGATCGACGTCATGACAAGTCTAGTGTCACAGCGAGGTAGTCCAAGGCAGAATGCTGAGACACCAGACTATGATGCCTCCATCATCATCTTAGAACCACAGAGCTGGCAGGGACCCTATGGACCATTGAGTCCAGATCCTGCCAAGAAGGCCCAGTAATGAACTGAGCTCCGCAGCCAGAGAGCCCTCAGCTCCTGAGCTCCCCAGCAATTCATTAGGAACAAGCAGTCAAATCAGCAGAAGAGAACTAAGAGTTTCAGGGATAACAGGGGCCAAGAAATTCTGGAAGGGTGACTGTGGGGGCAGCTACAGTAGCAGAAGGAGACACTGGCAGAGGGTCCCTAACCCTAGGCAAAGGGCAGGGGCATTCAAGTCACCTCCGCTCAGTGGTAAAACACTTCCTTCAAAATCAAAACATCTATCTACATATGAGTACAGAGATAAAAGGTCAGTCCAGTGCCGCACAAAGCATATTGTTGGAACACGGAACGCTAAGAAGTCTAAACCAATGTAAGCTGTGCACAGCCAAGCTCTTTTCTGGTTCCTCCGTAGTTGCCCGCTTCCAAGTCTTGGGCTTCTTTGGCAGAATCCTCCATTTGGGCTGATGACTATATAAAAATATACAATATCTTCAACAATTTTGATTTCTCTACTGTCAGCGTTACATTGATAGAATTCTTCAGTAGCCATTTTCTGCACTGTCTTGATGATCAACTGGAACCCTGTGCTTTTACACTTCTTCCCCCCAAATGTCCTCAGCAGTCATCTCAACTCACTGCTATCCAGCAGTTGCTCAATGAGTCACAGAACTGGGCTTGCAACAGACAATGTCTACAGTGATTTCTTAATTTCAGGCCATTGTCCTGGAAAAATGAATTATTACATTACACCAGCATAACTAAGGCAAGGCGATTTGAGGTACTGTAATGAGTCTTCCAGCAGTTTAAAAACTGAGAGGTTTATTCTGCATTTTTTTCCCTTGTTTGCAGCGGTTTTCATTTCCTCTTCTGAGAGCCAGCGTGTTGCAGTGGTTAAAGTGCTGAGCTCGGACAAGGGTAATGTATTGTACGGGTCCCCATTCTGCCAGGAAGCTCACTAGGGTGCCCTGACCCGGCCACTCATTTATTCCCTTGGCCTCGCCTACCTCAAAGGGCTCTTGAGAGGACAAGAAGGAACAGAAGCAGCAAGGCCGCCTTGAGCTTCTTGAGGGCAAAGCCAGCTAGACAAAGGTGCAATAAAGGACACAAGAGGAGACCAGCCCACCACCCTCCCAACAGGAGACCACGGCCACCATGCTCTCATAGCAGGGCCTTCCTTTCGAGGATTGCTTCAAGGACTGACAGGGAGCAAATAAATACATACATACATAAAGGTTAGTAATAAACATTGATCTGTGAGTACAACAACAACATCATAAAAATATTAATACAGTACCACTAATAACGAAGAGGGCACTAATAAAAGGGCTAAAATTTATGAAGCTAATCATAATGGCGAATACGACCATGATATACACCAATATACAATGGCGATAACAACAATGTTATTATTTATTTATTTATTTTCATTTGTTTTATTCCTAGGCCACTTTTCCTCCTCATCAGGGGACCCAAGGCGAGGGCTCCCCAAGGTTGTAATTCAACGAAGATTTAATTACTAACAATAACTAAGACGAAGCCTAAAAGAAATTTAATTCTTTAATCATATTTCAATTAGCGTACGGTTTAATTTTGTGGGTGTGTTGTTGTTTTTTAAGGCTTAACTTTTTAAAATTCCGTTCTTTTTTTTTCATCTGGGGAGCCGCCCTGGGTTCCCTGATAGTGAGAAAGGCGGCCTATTAAATAAAAATAAAAGTGGGGATGATGAGGATG